CCCCAAAACCCCAAAACCCCAAAACCCCAAAACCCCAAAACCCCTTTTTTTATTTTAAATATTGAAATTTATTAAGAAAGTCAACGACTTTGAATATAGAAGACAGGCTCTAAGTTTGAAATTTTAGAGAAATTAAACCCATTTGTATCTAGGATCTGGGTTAGGATACACATATTTTGGAACATCAGCTACTGTGCAAGGTATATAATAATATCCTGGGCCAGGATTTTCCGACTTCTTTTCGCTACCTCTAATTTCTTTTCCAAATTTTACCCCAATATTTGTCAGTTTAGATGGGGAATCGTAAGTTCCTGGGCCTGGGCTTTTATCAAAATGATAGAAATCTCTAGATTTGCTCATAGTTCCTCCAGAGCCTGCTTTTTGGGCTTCTATAAGGTTCTGAATTGTCAGCCATTTTTGATTATAAGCTGCCGGCCCTGGTGACTTGTCATTAATATGGTCTGGATACCTTCCTTTCATTGTTATACCTTGTCCTTTAGATTTTGGGAGGTAATAAGTTCCAGGACCAGGGCCTTCAGAACCTTTACTTTTATATCCAGTTTTCTTGCCAAATGATTTTCCTGGCTTCGAATTAAACACTTCTTTAAAAGATTTGACAATGTCATAGGCTGCTGGTCCAGGCCCTACTGTTTCATACTTTCCTTTCAGTCCCATACCAGCAATTGAATAATGAGGTCCTTCTTTTTCTTGATTATGCTCATAAGAACCTGGCCCAGGAGTAATGAAAAAGTCTTTATTATAAAATTTTTCTCCCATATAGACTCCTTTTCCTTTATATTCTGGTAAATAGTAAGTTCCTGGTCCTGGAAATTGGTTTCTCAGACCTCCAGGGATTTCAAGTCTCTTGTCTTTTCCCATCAAAATACCTCTGTTCCAGTCTGCTCTTAAATCATAATCTCCAGGTCCTGGATATTCATCACCAAAGGGATCGTTACGATTGCCTCCCATTGTATAAGCTGGTGCATCTCTTCTAAGATGAGGGAAGTAAGCAGCTGGGCCTGGAGTTTGATCTTGTCCTGCAGTATGAGGCCTCATTCCCATTGTCCATCCATTTCCCTTGTTATCCCACATGTATTGGTTATAAGCACCAGGTCCAGGAATTTCATCATCATATTTAGCTTTTCTCTTTCCACCCATTGTCTTTCCAGGGTAGTGCGGTCTCACTGGATCATAGCTTGGGAAATACTGCCCTGGTCCTGGTTTATTAAAACTCTCTCTCAGATTATAGTCCATGATATTCTTCCCTTGGCAGGTATAAGCTATACCTCCATCAAGCTTAGGGTTGTACATTCCTGGTCCAGGTGTATCATCTCCAACTGATTTGTATCTCCTCTTTCCAGCCATTGTTTTACCTGGCTTATCTCCAAATGTAGATCTAATATTGTAAGAGCCAGGCCCAGGACCATCTCCTGTCTTTGCAGTTCATGGCCTAGTTGAAGATCCAAAAACTGTACCTCTATAGTCTCTTTTATCCCGATAATTATAAAATCCAGGTCCAGGAGTGTCGTTTATAGGAGGTCCCATCCTCCTTGCTCTTCCAATACTAGCACTTGCAGCTCGGGGTTTTGTCAGTTTATACCTATCTCTATACTCACCAGGCCCAGGATAGTCATTTCTTCTTTCAGCAGTTCTTGGTCTTCCTTTCAAAGTTGTATATGGACCTCCTGATAATGAAGGAATACTGTATTGTCCAGGTCCAGGCTGATCATAATCTGTGAGATCCCTCCTTCCAGAAGTAAACCTCGCGCTCCTAGGTCTTGGCTTGGTAGGAAGTATTGAAGGAAAATAAGTGTGAGGTCCTGGCTCATCATAAATTTTGTCCTTCTTTCTTCTTTTGCCAGCCATTGAGTAAGCTGGACCTCCATCATCATAGAATGGGAAATAATCACCAGGTCCAGGTCCATCTTCTATTTCATATTTTGGTTTGCTTCTACCTTGAATAGTCCACCCATCTCTAGTGCTTAACTTAGGAGAATAGTGTCCTGGTCCAGGAGAATCATACGATGTGGATAATTTTCCTCTTTTCTCTTTTCCAAATTTACCCAAAGCAATAACGCTTCTCTTATAAATTTCATATGCACCAGGTCCTGGGGAATCATCCCTCTCGTACTTTTCATATGGCTTCATTCCAAATGTCCATCCATCATGAGATTTAAAGATAGGTGGAAAGTATTCGGCTGGTCCAGGAGATTTCTCTTTCTCCTTCTTCTTTTTAAGCTTCTTTCCCATATAGCCACCAACGTTATCGTAGGTTTGATTTAAAGAGTAGCTGCCAGGTCCTGGTTCATCAGTTATATAATATTCCTTCCTTTTTCCTTGGATCGTGTATGCAGTCCCTGGTCGCTCGCTACTCACAGAGTAGGTTCCTGGTCCAGGGCCATCCAGGCACTCAACCTTCCAAGGGTATTTACCTTTAATAGTCCATTCAGGAGGGGCTACTTTTACTAAGTTCAGGTCTACATCTTCGTATTCTCCTGGACCAGGAGATGCCCATCTCTTTCTCTTCCTCTTCTTCTTATGTGCCTTTGGAATTGTCCATGCATGACTAACCATTCAACCGATGAAATTTAATTTTTCAAAATTTTAAAATATACTGGGGTTTTGGGGTTTTGGGGTTTTGGGGTTTTGGGG